GTGTCCCTAGTTACGTTAGTTGTTTAGATCACTCAAAGTGACCTCCGTCCACCCGAGCGAAGGGTGCTCAGCCGGCCGCCCGGGCCCGTGTTAAAGCATACGATGCTGGTGATCCGTGCATTCCTTTTAGGCACACGCTTTACTTCAGTTAGCATGTAGGTCGGGTGACGGACGATTGCGCTCCATATAGTTGCATGACATATCCTCATTTATGAAAGGATGTGTGCAGGGACGGGCCAGCAGGCGTGTTGTGAAAACATGTGCGTGCAAGATTTGTCATATATTTGTCATATATATATATATATATATATATATATATATATATATATATACATATATGCTGCTCTGCGTTCTGTAGACCAATGTTACCGCGTCTTCAGTAAGTGCTGCAGCTTAGGGGTAAACCGTGCAGTTGTACTACATGAAGATGCGAAAAATTAATGTCTGGCTCCTAGCTCCTGGCTTTTCGGCATTGTGAGTTCGAAGTTCTTATGCGGAGTTAACGATCTTCAGCATACCCAAAGGTACTGGTTAAGCGACGCTATAGTGCTAGACGTGTTAGATAACAAATATAGACAGTGCTCAATATATAGAGCTGCATTAGCTCTCAAGAGTGACCAGGGTCCCGACACGGCTTATCAATCCATGGGCTATGTGAATCTGGCAGCCAGTGACGCACTCGCGGGGAGTAGATTTCTTACTAGATAAGGCGTCCAATCACCAACGGCCAATCGCAGACCCTCCCCATGGAATGTCTGCCAATCCTTCCGCTATCCATCAACTAGTTTTCAAATCACACCACGTGACTGCTGCGTGCCGCAGCAGAACTCTGGCCGCGTGACCACCACCATCAGGATGATCATCACGTGATTGCTGCGTGCCGTAGCAGAACTCTGGCCGCATACCCACCACTATCAGGATGATCATCATCATTATCGTGAATTCAGTACGAAATGTTCGATGTATACATATATATATATATATATATATATATATATATATATATATAGCAAGATAGATAGATAGATAGATAGATTGCTTTTGATGCTTGATATAAGGCAATCGGATATGTGTTACGCGTTAAAAGCGATGATGCGACCATGGTGAAAATAAGCACCTAGAGGGTGAGAAAAGCACAAAGGCAAACACTATCATCGATGTCGCATAACTAAAATATCGATATGAACACTGTACGGCTCCAGGGAGGCGGAGGGGGGGGGGAGCATAACGGCATGATTTAATGCAAAATGAGATCACAACAGGTCTAATGCTAGTGCCTTGACGTGCTAACAAATTTTTCACTGCATCTATCAGAACGGCCATGCTTTGTCGTTCTTGACCTCTGGTGACCTCACATATGCCCTAATCTCAAAAGTTTTACTTGCATTCTTGATGATTTGACGGCACATTCACAAAGGTTTCTTCGTTTTTCTCATAAGACGTCTGGACATTAGAGAAATCAGGGGGGCCTGCGACTTCCTCCTCGGCTGATAAAAGAAGGGCTCAAGTAACGTTTTGAATTAAGAGCTCATATTAATATGTGCTCGGCAGGGCCTGACTGCAACCGCGCTCGGCCGGAAGGGGAAATTCGTAAAGGTATCGCCAAATCACGAAGGGTGCACACCACACTTTTGATCTTAGGGCATATGTGAGCTCACCGGAGGTTACGAATGGCCAAAAAAATGGTCCATGGTAGAATGGTATGGTCCAATGGTCCAATGGTAGATGCAGCTAAAACATATGCTAATGCGTCAAGATGGATACTAAGCTCACAGAGGCAGGCGTTAAGACTGGGGAGCCTATGTCCAAACATTTTTGCTTTCCACAAGGATCAGATCAGGTCGGTCGCCGTCCGAATTTAGTCTACGAGTGGCCTACAATGATTTTCATTTTCTTTTCTATCACGATGTGCTTCTGACTAAGATTGTTTTAATAGATGCGGCTATGGAAGGAAAGCATCCCAGGCACAAAACTACCATTTTAGGCTGACCAAGAGGTCCCGCTGAGATCTCAAAGGCAGAGTTTTGTGTATGCCTTGTGCATCATTCCAATGCTTAACATGCTCGTGAGCTGACATACATTGATAATGCAAGCTTAGACGCAACATTCCGAAAACTGTGCCAAGCACGTTGTCCAGAACATGATTTTTACTGTGTGTGAGCTAATTGATACACAAGTCATCAGTATAGTTCAGTTCAAAACAATGTCTGAGCGCGTGTTTTACTTACCAGCGTACATGACCGGTAGCCCGCACGTGAAGAGGACAGCTAGCACATTCACGTGAAAGGTAGCACAGCCTCTCACCACAGCCCACATGGTTGGTGCAGCAGGCCCTGGCTTACGCGACCCGCGCCGTCTGACTGCTAGGGCCAACTGAGGCGGTTGGACTCGACCCTCGGTGCCCGGCCGCTCGGAGCGACTCGGGTGGTCCGACTCGACCCCGCCCGTTGGGCTGCTAGGGCCAACTGAGGCGGTCAGACTCGACCCCGCCCGTTGGGCTGCTCGCAGCAACTGGCACAGTCTGGCTTGCTTTTCTTCGACGCCTGCATTAAAACGGGGCACTTCGCTGCAGGCTTCAGTCCTCTTCAGTCGTTTCCCTGCCCATGTGTGTTGCGTTTTTATGCAGTCTCTCCGAGGGACTGGATACACCACTTTCCTTGCTATGCCGTCTGATTGTTTTGCCCTGGCGACCTGATGTCATAGCCGGGCTGGGGAGCTTCTGGCTGGAGGTCAGGAAAAGAGCTACGCTAAGCCGGCTTGTGCTATCCGGCGCAGAGCAAGGGTCAGGCGCAAGCTAAATTACTTTAAACCGGCTAATTCTGTCCGGCATCAATTCAGGCACCGAGCGCATGAAAAACGCGTTCGGAATTAGGTCAGTACGGCGAATTTCTTCTGATAGCAATTGCAAAGTAAGTTACGGGACGCACTCATACATTTATTCATCGACAACAGTACGCGTGGATGACGGATGCCCACTTCATCGCAGCAGAGGTTTTCTTGTACGGTAGCTGGCGGGCCCCGGCTCCCTGGCTAGGTCCGTTGGCGACCTCATTCAGGGCGCTCTCCGCTGCAAATTGGGGAAGCCGCCCTGGCAAGAGGTTGCTTGCTTGCTTGCGGTGTTGTGTTATGTCATCCGGGAAAAGGCCAACTAGAAAAAGCCCGGATTCCTCAACTAATTGGGAAAAGCAACACGTTTTGGCCGAATTGAGGGGAAGCAAAACGTCTTGGCAATAGCCTACTTGGCCTTTGAAGCAGTCTTACGAGGCGTGCAAGAAAAATCTTGAGTCCGTACTGATGAGCGTTTGTCTAATAGTGTCTTTTTTAAACAAAGCATCGTGTACGACAGATTGCGATCATCTGAGGCGCGTAATCCATATGATTGTCTACAAGGCGTTTAGCTTTACTATATGCTGGCTGCAGAGATATGCAGCTCTTGTGCGGCCGTCCCCTTTGGAAGCGTGGGTATGTACAAATAAACACACACACACACACACACACACACACACACACACACACACACACGCACACACGCACACACGCACACACCACCACGCACCACACACACACACACACACACACACACACACACACACACACACACACACCCCTGTTTGTAAGCCCTCCCAAGTGGGGACCGCGCTGGACTACTACCGAGTGGGGACCACTTACACACCTCTTTAAACATGAGCTAGCGTTACGAAATTAACATCTTAGTGCTGCTGAAAACCCGAGGAGTGCGATGGTAAGCATTTCGTAGGTCTAGCGATAAGGGATCAATATCCGTAGGATGCTGCGAAGCGGGGACCAGCTAATATGACGTCAAAGGTGCGTCATACGCCTTACACTTATCAAGCTAGGGACCGGTCTCCGCATTGTAATGTGTATCTAAATTGTCTTCATTGATGACATGGAAAGAAAGGGAATTTGGGTGATAACGTCGGTTCGGTCACGTTGGCGAACCAACTGACAGGGAAATGGAACTTGGTTGCTGATGCCTTACCCGCACATTCTTTGTTTTTGAAGGAGCCGTGATATTCATGTTGATCTGTGTTATATTATGTCATACTTGTATTACATTGTATTATATTGCTGTATCTGCATTATATTGCATAATATAATTTTATATTTGTATTTTATTGTAATATGTTACGTATGTAATATATTATATATATTTTATTATATATAATATAATATAATATAATATATTATATATAATTAATTATATATAATATATAATTACGTATAATATGTAATATGTTACGTGATCTTCCCATTATGTTGCATTATGTTGTTATATTTGTATTATATTGTATTATATTATGTTATATTTGACGCATGGTACGAGCTACACGCAACTTTTCGATTTGCAGCAGATGATTTTCACTTCTTATGCCTACTCTTATGCTACATGTTATGCCTTGTTCATTACAGTTCAAAAATTATGTCTCTTCGTCTGTGTTCGAAATTTTTTCCAAGTTGACGCCAAAACTTTGTCAAGACAGGACGCCTAACATTGTGTGCGAATTAAAAGTTGCGGAACTATGTGGGATTACATCACATTTAGGTGGTTGATTTCAAAGCATGAATAATGCGTAAAATGAAAACAGTACACAAATCTGAACCTCCTTGCATTTTTCAACATTCCGAGTTCTTCCGCTGATGTCCTTTCATTACCCGTCTTCCGTACCTGGCCGGTACCTGTCCGACCAGCCCACAGCATAGATGAAGAACAATCACAATAACAAATCACTGCCTTGGTTGGAGTCAGGCAACGCCATATGACCTCAGCAGGTGAGTGCATCGTGAAGCCCCAATGATGACGACGATAACCACGATCAATCGATAGTCCTGGTCGACAATGATCGCCGAGTCCAGATCGACGACGATCTGGAGCAGGTCAGGTCAGTCGGCTATGCAGGTCACACAATCGGTTTCAAACCTCTTGACATAGGTCACTACTGCAATCTGTAAGGCAATGTTGAGGTGTCCCGACGCGGGCTTTCTGCTATTCATTTTTAGTTTTTGTGTTATTTCCATGTGGGGAGGGCAGCATGAGACAGCAAATCCATCAGTTCCGATCACGGTCCACCACAAACACACTCTTGTGCAAAAGGTTTCTTAGTTTGTTTGCAAACGGGTCAAACAGCCTCACCGCAAAGTAGGGGTTGCAACATAACACAACAGAGGATCTAACGTCCGGAGCCTCTCGAGCTTGCAGGTAAAAGAACATTGCCACCGCAAGGCAGCGATTGCACACAACACAGCAGGGGATCTAGACATGCAGCATTCCAAGCTTTCAGCTGAAACTACATTTCCATGGCACACTTGTGCTTCTGGATCACATTGTATGTACAGAACTTAACATCCTTCCAGGAACGCCGGCACAGTGCAGACTCCTCCTTCCGTGCCGCTAGGCAGCCTGCCATTCCTGGGCACTTCAGAGAACCGATAAATGGCTTCATGCGCCTCTGTGTAGCCTCCTTTTCTCTTTCAGTCTACAGCACGACCTTCCTTTTGGTTTTGGGCTTCCTTTTATTAATCCTTGGCCCCTTGGGTGGTCCGCTTTCTGCTTCAGCTTGGGGAATCGGATATATAGATCGCAATAATGCTAGTGCTGTCGTTCATGTCGACACTGGGAGCGGGATCACCTTCGACGACATTGTCACTGCTGGGGTCAAGGTCATCCAGGGTCTTTCCTGCGAATCCGCCGATCCCTTTGGCCATCGCGAGTAGTATTTTACTCACTTTGGCAGCATGCACCGTCTTTTCGGGAAGTCTATAGAACTGCCTGCGAACCCGTATGTCATGGCCCATAAAGCCGGCCACGATATCCATTTCAATCTCGCTCAGTCGCAGCAGCTGCAGCATAGTGGCCACATGCTTTCTGTACTTCGTGGCTGTGATGTTGTTGACACGTGCCTTTCGCGCGAATGTCCGCACCCAGCCGCTGCCTCTGAGCGTGCTCGCATCTGGGGCCGCGCTGTTGACGAAAATGTGTGGACGGTCGAGAGGGATCCCAACGTCTTTTCTTTGCTGCGATCAGCTGATCAAGCTTCCCTCGCATTGTGGCTGTCAGCGTGATGGGCACATCGCCTCGTTTTTTGCCCCGAACCACTACATGTCCCAGCGAATGGCATGGCTCTCGCTCTAAAGGAGACAGGTGCTGCAGGACGTCTTCATTGAGAGTTTGGTCCCTCTCAGTGTATGATCTGACCGTAGGCCTTGACGCTTCTCCCGGCCTTCGCCGGTTAAACAAAATGATGGATGCCCGCGCAGTCTCCGACAATTTAACATAGTTCTTGATAAAGCGTTCCTCTTCCCACAGCCCCCGAGCCTGCACCTCCTTCGTTACACTCTGAACATCCGCATTGAGGGGAAGGTCGACGGGCTTATTCCACTTCTTTTCCTGGAGAGTGGTAAGCGAACGAGAAGACACGTGTAGCTTCCAATCTCGTTGGTAGAGCAGGAGGAAATCGTCCGCAGCCGTCTTCGGGGTGGCGTCTTCGTTGGTGGTCCCGCGCGTTTTCAGTATGCCCGCGCATTCACTGAGGCCATAACCAAGCTTGAGAGCAAGCGATGGGTTATGATATTTGCCCTCCTTCACACCGGCCAGGTTCTTGACCGCGCCTACCACTTCCACGAACTTTGCGGGGTGAATAAACATCTCTAGACCTGATCCTGGGCTTGATACATTCAGCTCCAGCAGCAGTCGTCCCAGCTGCCGCATTTTTTCTCTGATGTGTGCATGCTGGTGGCGCTCGTGGCCCAATCTTGTGTAGAGACGGGCCCCGAACTCCATGATAAGGGCATCATGCCTGCAAGTGGACGGAATACTATCGTCTCACATCTTCGCCATCTGGTTTTCTAAACCAGCCGCGGCATCTTTGTGGCACGGCAGCAGGGACCTTCCCTGGGACTGGACTCCGCCCCCAGAGGCAGTTTTCTCATGGGCGTGGCACCGATGCCGAAAGAGGCTGCGTCTAGAAAAGAAACCGTGAAACCTTCCACATGGCAGCATATCTTCCACGTTGATATTCATATCTTGAGGTGGACGCCTCTTGGGACGATCGTTCCTCGCCCATCTCGGAAAACAGCAGAGATATGTTTGAAATTGCCTTTATGAATGATACCTTCCAGAGTGACTCTCCTCTCCCTTGATCCTCTTGGAAAGGCGAGTGCGTCAAGTACGTCGGGTTCTTGTTTATGCTTCCGGAAAAGATGGCCCGCAAGTTTTGTGTGCAGGGTACCACAATAGGGACAAACGTTCCGCTTTAGGGATAGCTTTCTTGTTTTAGGAGATTTTTCAACAGAGACATTGTGTTCGCCGGAAGCCCTACTACTGTTCTTGGCCACTACCTGGGCCTCATCCTGGTCCTCGTTCCTCGTTCTCGCCTTTGACTTCCTCCACATCCTAGCTCTCGTCCATATCCTTGAAGTAGCCCATGTCCTCGTCCTCATCCATGTCCCCGTCCATGTCCTGGTCCTCATCCTCATTCGTGTCCGTTGCTGGCCGCGGGTCGGGGAGGTACGTAGGATCTTCATCTTCATTGTCATCAGGAATGAGGCCAGAAGCATCATTATCATGATCTGCGGACAGACCGATCGCCATTGGTTACCTAACGACGAGTATTAAGCAAAAACGAAAACAAAAAAACCAGTACATCGGAAGAAGGATCGTTCGGGTTACTCAACGATGCGCTACAGTGCCAGACCTATCGGAGTTGCGATTCTTTTGCCGAGGGGACCGAGACATAACGCGCCGGTGGTCAGAGGCGAATCAGAGTACTTCGGGCTCCGAAGCCAACGCCTTAGCCAACTAAGCCACATGGCCAAGTGGCTGTTTAACCAAGGGGACATCGATTCATGGGGCGTCGGTCTACTGACCCCGCTCGGTGCTAGGGTACGGGCAAGTGCATGATTGGCCACAGTTACTCTGTGATGCCTACTACATTGGATCACGTTGGTGCGTGTGTCCATGCGCATGTTCAAATTCTATGAACAGTTTCTTTCATGGACGGAACAAAAATGTTCGTGATGACGGGTATCTTGGCAAGTACAAAAGAACCACTTTATATTTAACTAAAAGCAAGTAAAAAACAATGACGACACACAAGCTGCAAAACGTTACGAAGCAAAGCAATGAGCAAATTTCCCGCGCAGAGCAGTTGGGACTTGCAGCAATGACACACAGTCTGTGCCATGACACGTTATTTTGTTAGGTGGTATGTACCACTGATCAGTTTTAAACCCAAACAGAGCACAATCACCCTTGGTTGCTACACCCACTCTCAAAGGGCACTGTGCCGTCTGATGCTCTCGTCTTATGCTGCTGCTCATGCTTCATTCAATGCTTTAAGAAACTTTTTTGAACCATGCACCAACCTTTCTCAAAATATAACCGAATTAGGCTTGGGGGCACTCTTTCTCTTGAAACCCATGTAGGAACTCTGAAATAAGTCGAAAAATGTGAGAATGCCCGCCAATTAGGCAAGCAGAAGACAACTAGTGGCCAGGAGTGGCACACGGAAAAACTTGGGGGCCCTGGAGTGGCCAGAAGGGGCCTTAAGAATAGTCAGAGAATTCTGTATTTGTAAAATCAAGCAAAGAAACGTTGGCTCTTACTCTATACGATCATTTTCTCATGCGCGCGGAAAAAAAGCATTTAGGAGGCCCTGGAACACCCTGGAGACCCGTTTCATTAATTTTATGACGCTGTTTTTATCGTACAATCATACCCTCGCCTAACGATCATAACACATCAGCATGGAAGACGTCAGGGCTAGTTGCTAGCATCGCCGAAAATCCACGCCTTCCCAGGGCACGCGCATGGGTATAGATAGCTCACGTGTCTTTGGTTGCACCACTGCCAGGCATGGGTAAGAGAACCGGGGATGGATAGGGGCAGGGGCTAAAACCTACATGCTACTGAAAATTTAACATTGGCCCTTTGAGCGTTCACTGCAAAAATAGTCCATTGACTACCATCTTTTGCTTGGTTGGGTAATGGGCCCCTGGGCGCATGGGTCGTAGGGTTTTCCACGGCACGCACATTGGTCATGGGTTTTGTCGAGGTCTTTGGAGAAAAGGGGATCGGACAGCCCGTTTGCCTCCCATCTCGGCACCGCCCATGCTCATTTTCAGGTAAGTATAACAATGCATATATCGGTTTATTCATGCTCTGAAGAGCTATGCCAAGAAACGCATAGACGAAGCACTCAAGTCGTTCAGTCTTTCACTGAATGTCTTAAAAATCGGCACACGGCTGTTCAAACGAAACGCAATGCACGAGTGTCATTCACTGAGGTCCTACCAACAAGGATCACTTGTTAGCTCGAGGAGATTGGGACAATGTATGCTCTTACCTGAAGCCACTATACTTCACCAGTGTAAACATGCCATCTTTGCTAGTGATATGCTGAATAACTTCAAGCGGTATGATTGGTGCCTGTAACAGTAAGCACGAGCACTTGTAAAACACAACACATGTTGGTTGCCTTTTGACTGTACCAAACAGGTAGAGAAACATATGTTAAGCCCGCGCGTATAGGAAACCAGACGTACGGGGTTCGATTCGCTGCCTGGTCCAGCCTTCCTGCCAGGGCAGACGCCATAAACTGGGAAGAGAAGGCTGACCACTGAATTGGGATTGTCTGCATCACAAGTCGGTGGGGAGCTAAAGTCGTCCACCGGGAGAGGAAACCAAACCCCTGCAAAAACATGTAATCCAGACATATGCGAGACGCACGTCAGGATTACAAAAGATCAATTACGCAAGACCCGTCAACCCTGTTCACGTGTCTGTTCACACATAAAATGCATGAATACAATATCATCAAGTCTGTTTACCAGAAATCTATCAGTTCCTGGAATGCCACCTTTTTGGCCGCCATGCTTTCTTCCATGAAGTGAATGCCAGTTTTCATCACAAGCTAGCATTACATCACATGGTCAAGGGAAAGGTATTAGAGGGAACACTTTATTCATCGCAGGTCTCCAAATCGCAAGAGCAAATCATACCGATTTAAGAGCAATGGCAAATGAATGGCTTTCTTAAAGATGAGTGGGGGACGGTAATAAAATGACGATACGTATCCCACATTGCTTGTACTTGCTAAGTATTGCTTGTCGCGTATATCCTGAACCCACCACCAAAATAGTGACATGTTTGTTTTCATGTCAATCAGACCCACTGACCCTAGTGTTTAGGGCCAGTACACCGGTCATGTCATATCGGTAACACCTGACCAGCCCGAACGAAAGCCAGAAGCTGACTAAGTATGAAACAGAAGGCGTTTTAAAATGTTTTACTCGATCAACCCGCGCGCTTGCGTATGAAACAGAAGGCGTTTTAAAATGTTTACTCGATCAACCCGCGCGCTTGCTAAGCAGTCTAGGCCGTTTATTTTACAATTTTGTAAATTGACATGCGGAGAGAATGACCATTCAAAGCATCAATAATTATTGGCAAGGCGGTGAAATATTTGCATCTGTCTGTCGAATTTTCATAACTGCTAATGCGTGCTAAGGATGAACCAAAAACACCGAAGATTAAATGTATATCTTTCTTCAACTTTTGAACAGCACTTTTGGGCAGCACACCGGAACCGACGATCAAAGGCCCGTTTGGAGGGTATAAGGGTCTAAAGAACTGACTGTAGGTCACGCAAAGAATCGCGGCCCGCAGGGTCGCGACTTAAAATACTATTCAGAGGTCCCCTTGCACCGTTTTAGGATCCCCCCCCCCCCCCCCCCCCTGAGACAATCGGCCCGAGACCACGAACACCGAACAGTCGGCTCCATGTCCGTCTGAGCCCTTGAGACCCATTTCCCAAGCAGAAACAGGGCGGGGGCTCGCGATTTGTAATGTTCGGGGTCCCTGGTACAATGAAGGGCTTCTGTGTCGGTTAGGGGCCACCGTGTCGAACTGTGGCGGCAAGCAGCCCCGAGTCAGAGCGATTTTGAGGGGGCCCAAAGAGGGGCCGAAGGGTCTCTCGAGACCAAATATGGACCAAAGACTAATATAAGAGACCAAATACTAATATAAGATTAGAAGAGTCCGAAGGGCTGGCTGTAGGTCACATTAAGGACCCCCGCTCGTAGGGTCATGATCTCAAATGTCAGTAAGATGATCTTTGGCACCGGTAGGGACCCCTGAGACAGAAAACTCCTCTATTTCGGTCAGCGATCGCGAACAACGAACAGTCAGCTCCGTGTTGGTCTGAGCTCAATAAGAAAAACATGTCTTCAGTAACAAATGGGTCATATGAGGCGATTTGGGGGGGGGGGGGATTTTACTATCAGGGTGTCCCCTGTCAATCCTGTGCCCCCCCCCCCCCCTTATGAAACCTCTGGCTGCGCCCCCTGCTGCTCCCTATTGGTTAAAAGGTACACGTTAAGCTTTCAGTTTGTGATTTATCTAACAGAGTGGACATATTCTCGTCTTATTTTGCTACTTCCTTTGCAGGCTACGCCCTTGATTTAGCTGCTCCCCAGCACCACCACAAATCACTACAGTCCACAAATTATGGTAGGTTAAACTATGTTTTGCCTGGAATTGAGAACATAGAGGGTGGAAAGCATATGTAATATGCACATTTTCAACAGATTAATGAGTTGGGCCAGGTATCTAGTATCTACTGTGTTATCTCATGGAAACTGAACTAAAAACAAAAGAATTGCACCTCCAGGTTACAAAAGACTGCTACATCAAGCAGCTGTGGAAGGGTCCAAGGAATGCATTGGTCGAAAAGTTGAGTTTTGATGTTTTATTAACTGACAAATCATTCTGACATGACGTGGTGTGAGCAGGCAGGAAAAGCTAATTGCTCCCCATGACGTAGAGGGCCACAAGCAGATCAGTCCGCAGATCGCTATGCTTTTATGGCCATGCTGGTCAAAGTTGCATTCATTCTGAAGTGATTAAGCACGCATTAATTGCAGGTTCCAAAAAGCATGGCTGTTCACATCTCGTGTGTTGATCTGCTGGTTGAAGGGCTTTAAGGTTTCCTGCCATCACTACTCGATATCAGGGTTCACGTTTCCTATTCCGTTAGGGAAGGGGGGGTACTAGGCCCCCCCTCCGAAATCTAGCTACAGCTGTCAACTAAGAAATGAAATGGCGCCAAATTCAGAGAGAAATTGGTTTGTTGATGATCTTTGGGATAGGCTTCATCATTTCACAAGTTTTGGCACCCCCCCCCCAAAGCCCCCCCCTACTCACTTTATGTACCTACGCCCCCACTCAGTGCATGCAGGTAAGGTGAGAATGGTGCACCCCGTTGAGGGGTAAATAGGAACATGAGGTGAAAAGCACGCTGATCCCTCCCCCCTTCCCCCTCCCCCTCCCCTCTTCCCGTCGACAGCTACACGGGATGCAACGCTAAGACAGCCGCGCAACTCCCAAGTTGGAAGACTTTGCACTGCCCCACATAACGCTGCGCACCTAATGCTTGCCCCCTTCCTCCTTCATGGCTACAGAGGTTTTAACGGTAAAACTGCCGCACCGCCATCAAGTTGAAAGAATTTCCCCCGTCCCTGACACTGCAGTGCACCCGAGCACGAGACACTTCATGCACTTAAAAAACAGAGCTTCCAGTACAGAACATCATGCAGCTATCAGCACTCACCACATCGTGACAGCCCACAGGAACACCACTACGTACCACGCAGTTACATCTCACGTCCCTCGATCGCGCGACGCCACACCAGCCGAGCGACGCGACACCTCCACGGCATTCCAACTCGCGGCCAAGGTCTGCCATAACAATCAGTAGTGATGGGTACTACGCATGTGCCCCTGCCAAACCACATGATTGTTAATGTTTGGTCATTATTAAACGTCTGAAGGCATATAGAAAAAACTGCTGTTTATCATCTAGTTACTTCAGCCAATTCTGTCGTGTGAAATCAACTTTACATGGTGTGTTCAAGGTGACAACAAGATCAGCACACCTCTACTCAAAGATGACGTCACACATTTCAGTCGAAAGGCGAGAAACTTCTCCGGCGGATTTGTGTAAGTCGACCTAAGTCACGTGACCACGAAACATACACTTGACGGACAAAACCTACCATGTAGGGACCTCTAAGGGATTGATACCAGACCAATATCTGGATGAAATTAGCGCTTTCCAATGGTTTGCGAAATGAGGACCGATTTTCGGCCCCCACCTTGAAAACGGTCCTCACCTTGCGTGAGTGTAGCGGACCTCGGTCCCCACTTAGGAGGGTTTACAAGCGCACACACACACACACACACACACACACACACACACCACACACACACACACACACACACACACACACACACACACACACACACACACACACACACACACACACATACATACTTGTGTGCCGTGCTTTACGGGACACCTGACTCAGCCGTCACTACCGAGAACCACCCGAACGAATGGCGGCATCGCAGCCAAATTGGAAGGCCATGCAGCCATTTGGCTGTTTAAGAACAGGATGGGTCGTTCGAGGGGTAAAGCTGCCATCTTTAGCTTACACTGGCAATTGAAAATACCGAGGACATAGTGATAACAGAGGACCGTGTGTGACTTTTCTGTCATATTCAGCTGTGTATTGAGGACCGGGAGTTGCACTTGGAAATTAAGGACAAAGGGACAAAGGCTCTCAGGTCGGGGGCCTCGAACATCATTCAGAAGGACTCCTTGGGGTTGCTGGGAAACTGAGGGCCCCTTTACCGGTGAGAGACGATGTCGAACAGTCTGTTTTGGATATTTGTCGACAAATGTATCGCTTGAAACCAACATGTTAATTAATCAGCGAGGCAACGACCATCTCATAAACCAGTGTCGCGGCCACCTTTGAAAGACGACGGCGACAAACCAAACACGGCCAGATATCAATATGCTATCTTGTGCACAAGCGCGCAGCCAGAGCCTTGGCAATGGGCCAGGGGCACGCACAAGGTTGATAAAGGGCTCCCCAATAGTGAAAGCCCCCCCCCCCCAAACAAAAATATCGCTGGCATTGGAGTGCCCCATTGTGCCGGCCGGGGCTCTGAATAGTCTTCCAGCCGACCTTTCTGGCCTTTGGGCCCTCAAATCAGGCCCTTAATCGTAAATCCCGAGGCCCTTCGGGTCCCCTGAAACCTTAGGCAGGGGAACGTGCCCCCTGTGGCCTTCCCTCCCTGCGCTCCTGCTTGCGCGTCAGGCTGTTGGTTTGCGTTCAGGTATAGGCAAATAACGGCGGATCGTAGGCTTTCTGCTGCTTAAATCATTCATCTATAATATAGCAATCGTTTTACTCTATTTTATCATGGTGCACTTTCCTGTCGTCCCGTTGAAGTCTAAATCAAGTCGGATAAATAGCAGCATACGCCATGTTAATACCTGCTGAACACTCTTCATGAAAAAGCCCTCCCCAGGCCGGTTGATAT